CNNNTTTTTTTTATGCTTTGGTTGGGAGGTCCATGACTCTATTTTTTCGGCGAAATTCCGGCAAGTTTATTTTCATCCAAGTTTCGAGCTTTATTCATTATTTTCGTCTGGGCACGCGATAGGAGAGTAGGTACCTTGCTTAGGACTTACTACTTCGAGTTTGTTTCTTTCAATTTTGTGTTTATGCTCGTTGCTAGGGTTTTGCTTTATTTTTATTGCTTGCTTTTGTGTATTAGGAATCAATACGTGCTTATCTAGTATAAAGGTCTCGACTTTGTTCAAAGCGTGATGATTTAGTGTAGAAAGCTCGTGATAGATTACCTAGGATCACTATGCTCGCATGTTTTCTCTTGTTTTCTTTTATTTTCTTGAGTTATGGAGATTTCGTACAACCAATGCTTTGACCTTTCTTTCGATTCTTGCATTTTTCATCATGTGCTCTTAGATTATTAGCTTAATTTCATGGAATCATCCCCAATCAAGCGAGTAGAATGTGTAGGACCTTGTTTTTGGTTATGTGACTTTGACGACTAGGTTGTGAACGAAGCTCCGAACAACCTTCCTTTGAGAACGACCCGAGTCGGGTAGCTCGGTTACCACATGCCCAAAAATATTATAAACAAAATGGCGCCGTTGCCGGGGAAGGAGAGTAGGACGCCAAGTTTGCTATCTAGTTGTCGTTTGTTTCCGTGTTTCTCTTGCTTTTTATGGATTTTTCTTGATTTTGCGTGTTTCTCTTAATTATTTGATTATTTTCTATTTCTCTTGCTTTTTGCTATGTGTGTTCTTGTACATATTGTGTCGTTTTAGTTTTATTTTTGTGTTTTTTGTTTGTTGGTCTCGTGTGCCTTGGTTGTTTTGTTTTTCTTGTGCGAGGTACTTCGCTTGAGGAGCTCCAATGGATCCATAAGGCTTTGCTTATGCCGGTAGCTCGTCTCATGGATACCCCGACAACTACCATGAGGAGATGTACCCATATGGAGGGCCGCCCTATCCGTATCCTAGCCATTCTTACCCGACATCTCAAGCCGATTTTGGTTATTTCTCTCCGGGTCACGACGAGACACCTCACTACTATCCACCGCCTCCCGCTTATTGTGACGCCACACTTGCACCCAAGCCGACTCGAGAAGCTTCTCCAAGCCATTTAGCCGAGATTATGGAGCAATTGGAGAAGTGCAACCAATCCCTTCGCACTTCAATGGCTCCGATATCCGAAAAAAAAGAAACTGAGACCTATGCTCTACCCTCTCCATCATACGAGCACCTATCGGTTGGCCAACCTTGTACATTGAGTTACGAAGCTTCAATTCCAACAATGGTCGAGCCTACCAAACGTCACCGAGAGGTTTTGACGAGCACTCAAGAGGCACTTGCGAGCCTGATGTTGATCATTGAGGAGTTTCATAGTTGGAGGCTTATTCCCATTCCATCCGTTCTTCAAGTCACACTCACGGAGTTCGACTCTACCGTGGTCTCTTTTCTTGATTTGGATGCCTCTCACATTCCGTTCGGTAGATATTGTTCTCTATCGGCGAGGATTATTCGGGAGAGCACTCGGTTAGAGGGCGGGTTTCGAGCTATGGTGGATAGGTTTGCCTCCTTGAAAGAGATGGGCCTCACTCTTGTTTATGACGGTACGCAACCTCTCGACACGGGTAAGGACATCGACGATTTGGTTGCTAAAGAAATCTCCTCCCTTGACGATTCAGCAGTGCATTCTACATTAGGTACGTCAACCTTTACTTCCGGTGATTGTGCTTTGAGTTCGATTTCTATTGTTGGGAGTGAGTGCATGGATTCGGGAGTTGATATGGTGTATGGTATGGGAGAAAGTTCATTTGAGGGTTTGGTTGTGCCGAGCGGATTTGATGGTACTCGGGAGGATAATTTTGAGGAGGATGAGGTAGTTGATGATGTGGTGGATGTTGTTGAGGAGGATTTCGAGCCATTATGTGATGTCGTGGACTCGAGGAGTGCGTTGATTGATGATTTGACTTGTGATGTTGAGTATGACGTGGTTCCGATGTCCTTTGGGTCGTCATTTCGTATTATTGAGGATCGTGATTATTTGGAGGAGTTTAGTGTGTCTACGCCCGTGCTCCCGATGCTTGAGCTTGATGAGTACACGTTCGAGATAATGCAAATGATGGCCGTGATTGATGCAACGTGTTCCATAGATATTTTCATATTTCTGGAGGTCGAGTATGGATTCGTAAGGAATTATCTCTTCTCTTGGTGGTTGTTGATATCCGTGCTTGGTTACACAAGAATGAGGACACGAGATTTAATTGGGCCCACCTTTTCTCTATTCTCCCGGCCCGACTTCTTTTGGAAAATACAAAGGCGTGGCATGATCGTCATTTCTTCTTGGATCCCGGTTGATTTTGGTTGGGGACGTCAAGCTCAAGACGTTAAAATGAGCGCTTCGTGGGAGGCAACCCATGGTTTTTGATATTCCTCGTTTTTCGTTGTTTATCGGAAATAAATAGCCCCGCAAGCCACACGACGCACGCTATTTTCGAAAAGAAAACGGGATTCGGGGCCGAGATTATGTTGAAAATCGGGTTGAAATATGGCAATGGTTGAAATCGGGTCAAAAATCGGTCGAAAATGCTCAAAATATGCGTAAGTATGGAAAAAAGGGGGATATCCCCGCGAGTCGCGATCCCAGCCCATGTGCGCCCATGCCCGACCAAGCCGCGACCCATGCTTCATGCACCGCCACCGAGCCACCTTGAGTAGCCACCGAGCCACATCGAGCCACCGGCGGAACCACCGAGC